CAGTCATTAGCATTTTTTGCTCACGTGAGGAATCATTTTGCTCACCTAGAATATTGCTCACATGAGTCTCATTGGGCTCATGAGACTTATGTGCTACAATTGCTCACTAGAACAAAATTCAGATTTAAAAAACATTATATAATTATGTAATTCTAAAATGTGATTCATCAATTACATTTTAAATACTCTTGAGCAACATGTACATGTAAATAGATGCATGCATATTTATGTTCAGTGAACTTCATTTTTTAAACTTAAAATGAAATAAAAATTTTAATTAAATTATTCTAATTATGAATAGTACACATCAATCAAGGTATTATTATCCAATAGTTCCATTTCTAGTAGATTAACATTGCACTAACATTGCATTAGATTGCACTAGTACTAGACGGTTTTAAGTTGTCTTGGAGGCTAAGTAGATGTTTCTGCCTTTGATGAATTTATGAGTGCATGGCAGTCATACTTGCGTTTAAAATGATAATCCATTGGTCATAAGAATCATAATCAATTCATCCTGTTCCATTCTTTTTCCTTGCATTTCCTTTAAATGAGTGCGAACATCAGAACTCTGTCATGTAATCAAGCTCAGATATACAGTACCGACCGGACACAACCTAACACCAGAGCGAACCCGGAGCGGACCCCGGGTTCGCTTCACGGGTTCGCTCGGGGTCCAATTCGGGTTCGCTTTCAGAAATTTTGGGACCGCTCCGGGTGCGCTTTGGGTGCGCTCCGGGTTCGCTCGGGGTCAGCTCTGGGTCCGCAAGAGCGAACCCGGTGTTCGCTTCCTGGGACCGCTTTACGCACTGATGCGTGAAGCAGACCCCGCTTTTATCTCTCCGCCAGTAAGCCCCGCCCCTTGTATATTCCAATACAGTACTGGTATTGTGGATCGATCATTGTTGTTTATGCGACGATGCGGACATATGTACACTGTCATGTTAACAGTGACATTATGGAGAACATTGATAAATTTTCTGAAATTAAACTGTTAGACGTAGATTTACATGTACATGAAAAATTGATTTCCTTGATTCCTCTCTATCCCGAGAAACTCAAACTAATTAAACAGCGGGTTATAAGGCATTTATTTTTCGTAAGTTATAACGAGAAAACAAAAAAAGAAGAGGAAGAAAAGGGTATATTGAATTGATTTTCAGCGTATCGAATGGTGTACATGTACAAGTGAAACTGACGAAAGAAATTTAAACTAATTTAATACCTTTTAAATTCATGCTTTATTTAGTTTAAAAATACATTTGTTATTCATTACGTTTTGCTAAATCGTATTTTGAATGTTTACTAAACACCTGAAATAGGATATCGCATCTATAAATTACATGTAACCTTTTGTAAATCTGATATATTTAGACTTTATTTATATACTGAGAGGAAAAAGAAACGCAGGGTAGCATAATTGTCGATAAAAATTTGACCACATGACCGAAAATTACGAAAATTGGTCAGATGGGAAATTTAGGTACTGTGCATCAAATTCAGTATTCAGAATTACTCAAGCGTAAACTTTATGACGTCACGTAGGGAAAACACTAAAAAGCCCAAAACACGTGCAATTTGATAACGACGTGTTTGTTCACAAATCTTGTTGCATTATTTGATGCATATGAGGTATGCAAATCGTTTTTCAATATTAAGAGACATTATGAATTTATTGCAATCTTGGCACAGTTTACGAAAGTTCAATGGGGTCTTGTTTTTGAATTGCCTAATTAATGAAAAAGGCAACAACGGTTTACTAAGCAGTCTCTAGTAAATTTTCCCCAATAAAACTTTTTAGCCGTTGTCAGAGAGGGTCTGGAGTGGATTTCAATCAACCGTGACGCTGACGTTAACGCGAAACAGAGCCATGTTACGAGCGGGTTATTCATCCTGCCATCTCTTAAATCGCCACCTTACTACCACAAAAACAGCCATTTATAGTGTACACGATTATAATCATTACATTCATACGAAATTTGAAAGAAAACAATTCCGCAATTTGGTTTTTTGAGCCAGTCAACTTAGTGTTGTATTCCTCTCTCTGGCGCATGCGCACGTCGTTTGACTTATTTTTTTGTGTGGTTACCCATGCTAAATATAGCCAGGGTTTAAAAGATAAACTCTCTGATGAAATTCCATGCAAAGGAAAAATAAGACTCTGACAGTTGCACGAGATGGATATTGAAGATAATGAGAGTTTTCGATTTTCCCTTTTTGGGGGTATCGTCATTTGAGCTTCAATAACTCATGAATAACTACACAAAATCATTTGAGAATTTGGTTATATCTTTTTGAAAGATGATTTTCAAAGTTAGATAGGAAAACTAAAAAGTATTTTAAGAAAAACAAATTTAATTGACCTCAAAAGTTTACCCTGCGTTTCTTTTTCCCTTCAGTATAGTAGTTACACATTAAAAGTTCGTAATAAATATTTACCAGACATTTTCTAAAAAAAAAAAGTTACACTGTACAATGCTGTATATTAGAGCTTTTTCACGGTCCAAATTTTGGAGCCAGAATGATTATCAGAATAAAGAAAAAGGCAAATAATAATTGTTCTCCCGACCCGATAAGAATAATATATAAATATATGCCCCCTTCTTATTGTTTAATTATTTTATTTATGATTTCTCAATTTACATGTTACATTAAATTATTCAAAATTTAAACCAACATTATTGATCTTCTTAGTCTTCTTGGGCATGAAAAAAAATGCGTGTATATAAAAATCATTCTTCTGGATGCACAGATTGAAGTCATTCCTAATGGTATTAAAAAACTGCAATGAATTCACCAGAATGAACGTAAATAAGACCAAATTCCAGATGATACTTAACAAGATTTATTAATTCTTTCAACTTAGTGTAACTCTACAGTTAGTTTGCGTTGCCATCTTTCGAACAACCCACATAACTATGCATTGCTAACGCCTTTATTGATTATTTTTTTCCCAATAATTAGTCCTAAAACATTTCAAAATTTATAATAGATTATAATTCATATGTTAAAATATCCCTTCTATATTATATTTCACTGATTATTCTTTGTCAAGTATAGTTACGCATTTTGATAGAATGACAAAATGTACGATTTACTAAATGTCATGATTAATTAGCGTAATTAATTCGTTCACTTGTGTAAACTTCATAATCGCTGAAGATCAACTATATTTCTTTTCTCCGCTTTTTGTCAGTAAGAATTGTAATATCAATCGATTTCCATTTTTATTCATTGACTGATGAATATACCCAATTTATTTAATTTATTGCTTTAAAAAAAAATAATTAAATATTATATAAATATAACATACAACCCTGAGAAATAAAATATATAATTATTTAATAGTACATGTATTTTAATTATCACAATATAGTAACACAACACATTCACACATTTTTGGATTTATGTCGAATTAAATCAATACGTTCGATCTTATATCCCAATCGACAGATCATATGCTATTTTGATTGGTTGATGCGCTGATTGGTTAATCGCTAATCCTGATTGACAGCTCTGTAAAGATATACACAACCTGCGTTCGCTCTCTGGGACCGCTACTGAATCTGGGGTTCGCTCTCTGGGTCCGCTTCGGGTTCGCTCGGGTCTGCTACGGGTTCGCTTTGGGTCCGCTCCAGGTTCGCTTTCTGTTAGGTTGTGTCCGGTCGGTACTGTAGGGTCCGTGATTTATGAATCTGCAGATCCTTTGATTCCAACTTTTATCTGCAAAAAATTTGAAGTTTTAATAAGTTTTAAGTATATTTTCAAGGTTCCATTGGTCATAAAAAGCCATGCAGTCAATAGAAAAATCATATGCATCAATATCTAATTAGCAACTTAAATACATGTGATTCATAGAATACCACACTGAGGCTGTCGATTGTACACTCTGACCTCATCTGTTCTTACCATATTTATAGTTCTTAATTATACTGTAATTTGATCCTGATAACATTCTGCATTAAATATATCAAACTTAAATACTGATAATTAACATATAAACATTAATATTTTTTAATTAGTAATATCTAAAATGAGAGGGGGGATAATAAATTTCAAAGCACTTACCCCATTCTCAGATCAGTATTATTATCTTTGAAATTTTCCTTCATTGTACATGTGGCTGCACCATATAAACAAATATAGCTGTCGTAGATATTCACGTGATTGCCACAGTCCTGGTTTTCTACGCCCAGTGAGGTCAGCATGGCCAGACAGAATTTGAGGGCAGCAAAGAGAAGCTGACGATAGCGGGCCATGGGGCTGGGCAGGAAGTCCTCCTCTGTATCTACACATCTCTGTAAAGCCTGCAATACCGTCAATAATCAACATGTACATGTCAGGTCGAAGGTCAAAGAAGACACATCCAGCCAGTCTCTGCATGACTCCACACTGTAACAAGGTGTGGGCCCCCACGGCTGATTCTGCCACCCGAGTCAACAAACTCTGAAATACAGTCATTGTATATATCTATTTACTTGTAAACTCTGTGACACACAGTGACTTTGTATTATATGTCAAAGCCCTTAAATTTTATATCAACATGATCAATATTGAAAATCAGTGGACTATATACTGCTAAATCATTTTTTGAATGAGTTATTGATTTATGAATGTTTGGTTAGATGCATGATGACAAATGTGGTGGTAGAATGAGGCAGTAATGGAAGACTTACATTAATTTAGACAGGTAGATGTACAGCACTCTGAGTTGAGGTGTGGGGGACACAAGGGTCAGTAGCGGCTGATCGTCATGGCGAAGGCTGTCCACCAGGTGTTGGAGGTAACCTTTAGAGGACAGAAAGGTCATCCACTGCTGGAACTTGTCCATAGAGTCTCAGAATGGTGTCTTACTGATAGGGCCAGCATCTACAACAGACAATAATCATAATATAGGTCTTGCACTGCTGGAACCTGTTCAATATGAAACCAGTGGAAATAAAAATACTTCTACACAAGGATATCAAGTTTCTTTCTTTACCCTTCCTACGTACATCATGTCCATCACATCACGATACACCATGTCCATAAAGTTGTCGCCGTACGACACAATGGTGGCTACATTTTCTTGTCTCAGCTGCTCATACTCAGAGTGGGCCTCGGCCAAAATCCTCTTCCCAACCCCATCACCTCCTGCCTCTGTCAGAAAAGGAAACATTGTTGCAAACCTTTGTCAAGCTAATTAGGTTTGTATTTCAGAAAACATTTGAAGATCATCATATACAATTTAATGTCGATCCATGCATGCAACAATTAAGTAAAGAGCAAAATCTGTGGAGTTTAGTTGACATTCAGGCTTTGACATCTTACTTTCAACTGGTTACAGACTACTAATTTTCATACCCCTGCAATATTTCATTGACCACTCAAGTAGTTCCAGTTTCCCATACCAAACCATTCTCACAATTTGCTCATGAGCAGCTCACGTGAGGACTAACCAGATTTCCTCACCTGAGTTGCTCATGTGAGTCTCATGTGCAATTTAACATGCAAATTAGGTGAAATGCTCACGTGAGCAGGGTTCTGCACATAAGCATTTTTTGCTCACGTGAGGAATCATTTTGCTCACCTAGAATATTGCTCACATGAGTCTCATGAGGCTCATGAGACTCATGTGCAACAATTGCTCACTTGGAACAAGCAAAAATAGAACAAAATTCAGATTACAAACATATATAATTATGTAATTTTAAAATGTGATTCATCATTTACATTTTAAATACTCTTGAGCAACATGTACATGTAAATAGATGCACGCATGATTATGTTCAGTGAACTTCATTTCAGTTGAAATAAAATTAAAAAATAAAATAAAAGTTGAAATTAAATTGAAATAAAAATTTAGATTAAATTATTATAATTATGTACAGTACACATCAATCAAGGTATTATTATCCAATAGTTTCATTTCCAGTAGATTAACATAGAACATCCAATGTAAATGTCCAGTCAACATTTTTAACTGCACTAGTACTAGATGGATAAAAGTTGTCTTGGAGGCAAGTAGATGCTTCTGCCTTTGCTGAATTTATGAGTGGCAGTCATACTTGGGTTTAAAATAATAATCCAGTGGTCTTAAGAATCATAATCAATTCATCCTGTTCCATTCTTTTTCCTTGCATTTCCTTTAAATGAGTGCGATCGAACATCAGAACTCTGTCATGTATGCAAGCTCAGCTAGGGTCCGTAATTAATCTGCAGATCCTTTGATTCCATTTTTTATCTGCAAAAAATTTTGAAGTTATAATAATTAAGTTAGTATATATTCAAGGATCTCTTGATCATGAAAAGCCAGTCAATAGAAAATTCATATGCATCAATATTTAATTAGCGTCTTAAATACATGTGATTCATAGAATACCACACTGAGGCTGTCAATTGTACACTCTGACCTAATCTGTTCTAACCAATGCATATTTATAGTTCTTAATTAAACTTTAATTCCTGATAACATTCTGCATTAAATATATCAAACTTAAAAACACTGATAATTAACATATAAACATATTATTTTTTTAATTATTAATATCTGAAATGAGAGGGGTATAATAAATTTCAAAGCACTTACCCTATTCTTAGATCAGCTGCGATATCTTTGAAATTTTCCTTCATTGTGGCTGCACCATTGGTAATATCTAATTGATCTAATTTAATCATTTCCTCATCCCATGGACATACTGCATGGATACATTTGTAACTTTTAAAGGTTGGCATCTAGTTCAATATGGTGATGACATGTATTTCCAAAAGCATATTTCAGTTCTTCACTGTATTAATCCATATACATGTACTTTCAATGTCCCTCACAAACATTTTGTCTTGAAATTTTGAACTGGTCTGAGAAGGCGCACAAATCCTAACTGGCTCTCCTCATTGGATACTGCCCCACCTTAAGTAACAGTGGGGGACACAAGAGGTTGTTTAAGAAGAGGAAAGCATTTTCAAATTGATGGGAATATGAAGATTAGAAGCTCAAGAAATTAAGATATTCCTGCCTGGTCCCCAATCATTTGTGATGCTATCATCAGGAAGTGTTAACACTTAACACATGGTCAATTAGTAATAAAGGCTTGGGAAAGCTTGGACCACATAGAGTGTCAAAGTATTATATTTCCTCACGTGAGCCTCACGTGAGGAATTGAGACTTGTAATTCTTTGGTTTTGGTTCTTGTAATACTGAATTTTGCCTATGTCCAATTTCCTCACCTCTTGCTCACCTCTTGCTCACGTGAGAAAACTGAACTTAGAAAAATCACTACCAATGCTATATCTTGAATTAGGCTGTTCTTAGGTGAGCAAATTGAATAGACTTTTGCTCATGAGCATTGAGGTGAGCATAATTTTGCACATGTGCATTTTGATAGTATTTTCCTCCCTAACAAAAACTAACAATCTGCACATGAGCAAAATCCAATTCTACCTAATTTGCATACAATTCTTACTTGATTCTCATGTGAGTCTCATGAGCTGCTCATGAGCATTTGTTAGAATGTTTGGTACGGGTTAAAAATAGAGGTTTTTTTCTTTAAAATTCTTTGGGGTGTTTATGGAGTAGAAAGCGGTAATTTTTGGGCATAAATGGAAAGGAGAGGGTCTGAAAAAAATTATAAAAATGATAATAATGGGAAATTTTGCTTTTTAGTGCATTATAAGTAGGAAGGGTGTAAAGAGGCCCATATTTACCCTATCCTCCAAGAGAAAGTGAAACAAGAGGCCAAGGGGCCACATCGCACACCTGAGCAATTAACTAGAAAAAAGCACATTTCAGATCAGAACTGAAAGTAAACTGAAGCTGGGGAGGGGGTGCTTGAATTTTAACCCCCAGTGGGTCATGATTTGAACAAACTAGAATCTACAATACCTGAGGATGATTCCCTATAAATATCACTAAGCTCTGAAGTATACTTGCAAAGAAGCTAGATTTTAAAAGGTTTCCCTAGATATTCCTATTTAAAACTTTTATCGGCCATTTGGCCTTTGGCTCAGGTGGGCTATAAAGCAGGGTAGGGGTTATTTGCGATGCCATAAAAGGACTTGCAGACTATGAATGTTCCTGAAAACTTGGTAAATTTTTGGACTTGAAATGATTTTACTCTGTGCCAAGTTTTAGGTTAGTTGAGCCGGTATAATTTTTAAAAATATTTTTTATGCTATTAAGGAATGTAAAGCAAAATATTTGGTTGTCTGTGTCCAACTATATTCTTACATCTACTTAGACATACCTGTATCTATGTGAGTCAGTGACTTGGGTTTCTGAACGATTTTTAGATAATTAACAGCAGGGCCCCATATAGATTGGCTCTTTCTCTCTACTGCTTGCCACCACCTTAACAGAACTAGATATTGATTAAAATTTCTTATTTTTGTACAAAGTTGTTTAATTTATAGTTTTATGAACATACACTTGAAAAATTTCTTTTCAGCAAAAAAGTATGTACATGTAAACTTCAGATATTTCGATCTATTCTTACTTGAGAGCAGAATGTGATCTATCACTCCTCTAAGCACCAGTTAAAGGGAGGAAGCAAATTGGGTTCGTGACCCTGACACTTGACCCCATGACCCTGTTTGACCTTAACCTGCTGTGGAGTCCAGCATGGTGAGGAAGTGTGACTGGTTTCGTCGTCAGTGTCAGAATCCTGACAGAAACACTGACCTAGATTTGTCATCAGAGTAAGAATGATCTCAGCCACAAGGGCAGTTAACTCTGTCAACGCGTCATCCTCTGTCACCTAAAAATAATGAATAGCTTTTTAATTATCAATACTGAATGCAGTATCTTGCAAAGAAATATCACAACTTTTTCCTTCCCTAAAATCAAACATATTTGTTCTCCCCCCCCCCCCCCCCAAATCTGTCAACAAGAATAAGAAATGTTACCTTTCTTCATACAATTCAAGTCTCAAATAATAATTTTAGCAAGACTTACACTTTAACCTTTAGTACAGAAATGAAATTTGGTCCAAAGTTAGCATTGGTTAGATATTCATTTTCTGGGAGGTTGATACCCAATACCTTTGAGTTGGTAAACAAGACATACAGATGTTGTTCTACCTTTCTCTGTAGTTCCTGTAGCAGCTCAAACAGTACAGTCTGTCTGTCTTCAGCCGTCAGTAGGTCCTAAGGACACGCGGTCAGCAGAACCTCCGTCACCTGACGCCAGAGCCTGCTGTGGATTCTGTTACATAGCACCACATGCTGTAGAAAATTCTCCACTTCCTGAAAAATTTACAAAATTTTATTGTTCTGCTGAAATGTTGACATCCTTGGTGCTAGCTGCAGATCTGTAGCTATCCGAAAAAAATATATATTGATAGACCGGATAGCTACAGTGCCACCCATTGAAAAAACTATATATTTATTGCGCATAAAAAAGTGCGCTCGGTTCTTGGTTATTTCTTCCTAATTCTTACCTCTATTGCAAAAGAGGGAAGATTTTAAAAAGTTTCTTTTTCCTTTATCAATTACATTCGTAGATGACATCCCATACCAAACCATTCTCACAATTTGCTCATGAGCAGCTCACGTGAGGACTAACCAGATTTCCTCACCTGAGTTGCTCACGTGAGTCTCATGTGCAATTTAACATGCAAATTAGGTGAAATGCTCACGTGAGTGGGGTTCTGCACATTAGCATTTTTTGCTCACATGAGGAATCGATCATTTTGCTCACCTAGAATATTTGCTCACATGAGTCTCATGAGGCTCATGAGACTCATGTGCAACAATTGCTCACTTGGAACAAGCACAATAGAACAAAATTCAGGTTCAGATATAATTATGTAATTCTTAAATGTGATTCATCAATTACATTTTAAATACTCTTGAGAAACACGTACATGTAAATAGATGCATGCATAATTATGTTAAGTGAACTTCATCTTTTAAACTTAAAATGAAATAAAAATTTAAATTAAATTATTATAATTATGTACAGTACACATCAATCAAGGTATTATTATCCAATAGTTCCATTTCTAGTAGATTAACATAGAACATCCAATGTAAATGTCCAGTCAACATTTTTGACTGCACTAGTACTTGATGGTTTTAAGTTGTCTTGGAGGCTAAGTAGATGTTTCTGTCTTTGCTGAATTTATGAGTGGCAGTCATACTTGGGTTTAAAATGATAATCCAGTGGTCATAAGAATCATAATCAATTCATCCTGTTCCATTTTTTTTCCTTGCATTTCCTTTAAATGAGTGTCAACATCAGCACTCCGTCATGTAAGCAAGCTCAGCTAGGGTCCGTGATTAATCTGCAGATCCTTTGATTCCAACTTTTATCTGCAAAAAATTTGAAGTTATAAGTTCGTATATTTTCAAGCTGGTTCCGTTGGTCATGAAAAGCCAGTCAATAGAAAAATCATATGCATCAATATTTAATTAGCAACTTAAAGACATGTAATTCATAGAATACTGCACAAAGGCTGTCAATTGTACACTCTGACCTAATCTGTTATCATATTTATAGTTCTTAATTCAACTGTAATTCCTGATAACATTCTGCATTAAATGTATCAAACTTAAATACACTGATAATTAACATATAAAGATATTTTTTTTATTAGTAAAATCTGAAATGAGAGGGGGGATAATAAATTTCAAAGCACTTACCCTATTCTCAGATCAGCATATTTTGGAAATTTTCCTTCATTGTGGCTGCACCATGGTAATATCAAATTGATCTTTAATCATTCCCTCATCCCATGGACATACTGGATACATTTGCAACTTTTAAAGGTTGGCATCTAGTTCAGTATGGTGATGACATGTATTTCCAAAAGCATATTTCAGTTCTTCACTGTATTAATCCATATACTTTCAATGTCCCTCACAAACATTTTGTATTGAAATTTTGAACTGGTCTTAAAAGGCGCACAAATCCTAACTGGCTCTCCTCATTGGATACTGCCCCACCTTAAGTAACAGTGGGGGACACAACAGGTTGTTTAAGAAGAGGAAAGCATTTCCAAATCGATGGGAGATAAAGATTAGAAGCTCAAGAAATTAAGATATTCCTGCCTGGTCCCCGATCATTTGTGATGCTATCATCAGGAAGTGTTAACACTTAACACATGGTCAATTTGTAATAAAGGCTTGGGAAAGCTTGGACCACATAGAGTGTCAAAGTATTGTATTTCCTCACGTGAGCCTCACGTGAGGAATTGAGACTTGTAAATCTTTGGTTTTGATTCTACTTGTAATACTGAATTTTGACTATGTCCAATTTCCTCACCTCTTGCTCACCTCTTCCTCACGTGAGAAAACTGAACTTAGAAAAATCACTACCAATGCTATATCTTAAATTAGGCTGTTGTTAGGTGAGCAAATTGAATACTGTGAAATCACAAATTTTCGTGGGGGTTTAATTTTCGTAGTTTTCGTGGTGTGAAGAGACCCACGAATTCATGTCCACCACGAAATATAAAATGTTACATACATTACTACTCAACAATTCTACATCCATGAAATCAAATCCCCACGAACCAAGAAATTTTCCTCAAACCACGAAAATTTGACACCACGAAAATATGTGATTTTACAGTAGACTTTTGCTCATGAGCATTGAGGTGAGCATAATTTTGCACATGTGCATTTTGGTTAGTATTTTCCTCCCTAACAAAGACTAACAATCTGCACATGAGCAAAATCCATTTCTACCTAATTTGCATGCAATTCTCACTTGATTCTCATGTGAGTCTCATGAGCTGCTCATGAGCATTTGTTAGAATGTTTGGTACGGGATCTGAACGAAGCATATTAGACCAAATTATCTTTGAAACCAAAATGGCAGTATGTATAATTGAAATGTTCGATGAATACACTATCTGGGTCAGGAGGACTATCAAAGATAATTATGACGAATGTTTTGTTGTGGAAAGAGTCAAAGAATATGTTAGGAACACACGTTTAGTAAAATTATGAGATTTCAGTTTTAGGAACATTTAGAAATAAATGGAAGACAGAGCGCACTTTTTTGTGCGCAATAAATATACAGTTTATTAAATGGGTGGCACTGTAGCTATCCGGTCTATCAATATATATTTTTCCGGATAGCTACAGATCTGCAGCTACCTTGGTGCAGGTCAAATAAAACTAGAACTGTCCAAACGGGACAAAATACCCCCCGCTGGGTTTTTCAGAAGTAAGTTTTTCCATAATTAAAATATGTTTCAAACATCAATTATGAAATTTTTATTCCAGTGACGTTGAAATTCCCCAGATAATCTTGGGTCAAGGTCATGACACACCCTTGGGTCATGGGCAATCTTTCAGTGAAATGAGAACCTACCAAGTTTATCCATAAGAAAGATATGGACCGGACACGAATTATATTTTTCTTCCAGTGACCTTGAACTACCCCAAATGACCTTGGGTCAAGGTCATGACACACCCTTGGGTCATGGGCATTCTTTGTGTGAAATGAGAATCTTCCAAGTTTATCCATAAGAAAGATATGGACCGGACACGAATTATGATATTTTTCTTCCAGTGACCTTGAACTACCCCAAATGACCTCGCGTCAAGGTCATGACACACCCTTGAGTCATGGGCAATCTTTGTGTGAAATAAAAACCTACCAAGTTTATCCATAAGAAAGATATGGACCGTACAGGAATTATGAAAATTTTCTTCCAGTGACCTTGAACTTTCAAAATTGACCTTGGGTCAAGGTCATGACACATCCTTGGGTCATGGGCAATCTTTGTGTGAAATGATAACCTACCAAGTTTATCTATAAAAGATATGTATCAAACATGATTTTTGAAAATTTTCTTTCAGTGACCTTGAACTTTCTCAAATGATCTTTGGTCAAGGTCATGACACACTCTTGGGTCATGGGCAATCTTTGTGTGAAATGAGAACCTACCAAGTTTATCAATAAGAAAGATATGGACCGGACACGAATTATGAAATTTTTCTTCCAGTGACCTTGAACTTCCCCAAATGACCTTGGGTCAAGGTCATGACACACTCTTAGGTCATGAGCAATCTTAGTGTGGAGTAGTAGATTCTAATGTCCCTCTGTAAGAAAGATATGGACCGGACACAATTGCACAGACAGACGGACAGCTAGACAGACGGACGGACAGACAGACGGACAGACAGACAGACAGACAGACGGACAGACGGACAAAGTGATTCCTATATACCCCCCCAAACTTCGTTTGCGGGGGCTATAATAATTAAGACAGCATAAAAGAGGCAGTCATCATGGAGAAGAGTGAAATTAATGGCATCTGATTGGGCTGGAAAGAGAGACTGTGTAGCTAGCTTTACATCACCTGACACAAAGAGGATTAAGTAAGGAAGGATCTTAAATGCTTAATAATTGGGATATCCATCTCACCTCTAAAACTCACGGCCTCTGAGTCACCATGATATTGATCTCACCTCTAAAACTCGCGGTCTCTGAGTCACTATAATATTGATCTCACCTCTAATACTCGCGGCCTCTGAGTTACTATAATATTGATCTCACCTCTAATACTCGCGGCCTCTGAGTCATTATAATATTGATCTCACCTCTAATACTCGTGGCCTCTGAGTCACTTTAATATTGATCTCACCTCTAATACTCGCGGCCTCTGAGTCACTATAATATTGATCTCACCTCTAATACTCGCGGCCTCTGAGTCACTATAATATTGATCTCACCTCTAATACTCGAGGCCTCTGAGTCACTATAATATTGATCTCACCTCTAATACTCGCGGCCTCTGAGTCACTATAATATTGATCTCACCTCTAATACTCGCGGCCTCTGAGTCACCATGATATTGCCTTGGTAGTTGTTCAGTTCATTCAGCAGTAGGCAGTGAAGTCGTTTGACGTCACAATACAAAATGTCCTGTTCAGTCTGAGTCTCTACACTTTTGATTGCTTGTTCAATCATCAACAATTCAAAAAACTCAACTTCATTGTAGGAAGGTAACGCTGTGAAAAGTCCTAGCAACATCCTGCGCACTTGGCGTGCTGAAAAAGGAAAACAAAGTCTGAACAAGATTTTATGAGCAAAAGAAGATCGGTGTGATAATTAGGGCTTTTTGACTTTTGTCGAAAAGACCTATTGTTTTCGTCTTTTTAAGGTCTTCCGTTTCAGACGGAAGACCTTATAGTGATTCTACTGTTTTTAAGGTCTTCCGTTTCAGACGGAAGACCTTATAGTGATTCTACTGTTTTTTTAATTATTTTTTTTCCCCCTTTTGAGATTTCTTTTTTTATGTATTCTCAGAGATGACTTGACAGATTCTCATGAAATTTTCAGATATAATAGAGAATTAAAATATCTTTCAAATGCAGTTTTCAGTTTTTCAAAATTCACTTCCGGTCGTCAGATATGTCCGATTTCCGCTTTTTTCAAAAATGTTTTGTCCGAGTCATATCTCAGAAACGGTAAGAGATTAAGACACCAAACTTATATGAGTAATAGATCTTGATAAGTAGGCAAAACCAATTGGGTTAAGATTGTCCGCTGTCACTTCGGGTCGTCACAGGAAGTGATCAAAGAAATCGAAATTTTCAAATTTTTCTTTTTTGAAACTTTTTTGCATCACATAATAGCATCTTATTTGTACTTTCGAAATATGTCCGTCCCACCGGAAACAAAAACGACAACTTCCGGTTATAAGAGAAAAACTGCATATTTTCATTATTTTTCTTTCCCATAAATATTTTTTATGGATGAAGTATTTTTAATCATTTCTTGATAGGTTATTCAGACTGCAAATGTCTACAGTAACGTCAAATATCTTTGTAAAATTCACTTCCGGTCGCATGATTTCCTGTCCTCAAAATGAGAAGTTATCATAGCTATAATCTCGTAAACGGTAAAAGATTTAGACACAAAACTTATAGGAAAGATAGATCTTGAGGAGTAGGCAAAATCAGTGGTGCTAAGATCGTCAGCCGTCACTTCCGGTCGTCACAGGAAGTGATCCAAAAAATCGAAATTTTCAACTTTTCTTTTATGAATCTGTTTTGGCCTCACATTAGAGCATCTTATTTGCTGTTTTCAATTATTTCAGTACCACTGGAAACAAAAAGAGACAACTTCCGGTTAAAAGAGGGAAACTACATTATTTCAGTATTTTTCTTTCCAATAAATATCATTTATTTATAAAGTATTTGTAATGATTTTTGGATATGCTATTCAGACTGCAACTGCATGTCTACATTAACGTCAAGAAATTTTTTGTAAAACTCACTTCCGGTCACATGATTTCCTGTCCTCAAAATGAGAAGTTATCATAGCTATATCTCGTAAACGTTGAGAGATTAAGACACCAAACTTAATAAAGTGGTTAATCTTGATGAGTTGGCAAAAATAATTAAGATAAGATTGTCTGCCGTCACTTCCAGTCGTCACAGGAAGTGATCAAAGAAATCATGAATTTTAACTTTTCTTTTAGGAATACTTCTTGCCATTACACTATTGCATCTTAATTGTTGTTCCGATATATGTCCGTCCCAAAAGAAACAAAAACAGCAACTTCCGGTTGTGAGAGAAAAACTTTATAAGTTAAGTATCATACTATCCCATATATATATTTCAAAGAATGAGTACTACGAAACTACTTCCTTCAACCTTAAAATGATAAGTTTACAAAAAACCTTTTTTGTTGTCGAACTCGATGGTTCAGTGGTTAGCGTGTCCGACTTTCATTCTAATGGTTTTGGGATCGAACCTAGATTGAGGATTCTTCTTTTTTTTCTTTTTTTTTTTTGCATTTTGTCCTTTATTTTTTTTAAATAGAAAAATATCCTTCTTACAGATAAATAGAGAAGAACGGAAGACCTTATTTGTTGCTGTAGCAACAAGAGTATCTAGTTTATTATTATTATTCTGAACACTTTTCTGTCAAAGATTTAAGAATAACCTTTTAAGATGTACATAATATTTTATGACCATCTTAAAGAAAATGCAAATGTGTCTTGCGTGTAATGTTTTGGTTTACTGGCTACGTCATTTCCGGTTTCTACTGAAGGAAAACTAAAATTATTAAAGAAGCCAATAACATTTTAAATCTTAATGTCTAGACTCCCAAATTTGAGATATGAATTCTAGAGACCTTATGCAATAAATAAGTGCGTGTACTCAAGTTTTGGCTACAGATACTTTTCGAGATATAAGATTTCAAACATTGAAAAAGGGGGGATGAAATTTTTTAAAGTCACAATTACATTACAAAAATTATTTTGAGCATAGCAATATGTTAGAACTATTTAGTAGAGCATATCCTGTAAGTTTCACACCAATCAAAGCAGAACTTCCGGTTTTATAGACTTTGAAAATTGTCTATGGGAATTCTATGTTAATTTGAGATCA